TGGTTGGAGAAGGGTAATCGAAGAACGAAAGGGGGAAAAAGTAATGGGGAAGAAGACCGGCGAAGATAAATGAAATCAGGGGAGGGGCAACGACTCTAATAGGGGCACACAAGATGAAATGACGAAAATACCCCTGCGTGCAAGGCACGTGGGGCACCCAAACGGAGAAAACTAACGTCTAACGACAATAGGGACTGGACGGGTAGTATTTAAATACATGAGGGACGGTCCGAGTTAATTTTCAAAAATAGGGACTGAACGTGCAATTTGGCACTTCGACCAGGGACGATTCGTGTAATTTACTCAAATGAATATGTCTAAAATGAGATTGGACCAAAAATAGATCGGACTGGTTTGAGACTGTTCGGGACCGGTCTGAAAAAGAACAGACTGTTTCGAGACTGGTTTGAAAAAAAACCAGACCATTTCGAAACCGACACAAGACCAGTCTAAAAACCCGAAAGCGAAAGTTTATGTACATATAAATTTGTTTAATTACATGTTTTTAAATTTTAATCACATATTTACCAAGTTCTTCCTCTATTTTATTAAAATTTAGTTTATTATTTTTATTAAATTTTAGTATATCGTTTTCGTATTAATCATATATTTGTTAACAGAAAAAATTGAAATTGAAACGAAACACCATGAGACCAGACTGAAAATGGCTCAAGCAAAGATCGTGAGAGAGACTGAAAAAGACCGAGACCGGTCCCAAAAATGCCGGATTGAAAAACCGGTCCTAAAAATAATTGGAACGAAAAAAGATCCGCTCAAAATCGTTCAAAACCGATTCGAAGAAAAAAAACTATTTTGAGACCGATCCTAAAAAGACTATTTTTTCTAGACCGACTCAAGTCCTATCCAAAACCATGAATGTACATCTCTATTATTATCCCTTGCTACCTTTAAAAGAAACATTTATAACCTACCAAATATGGATAAATTTAGAGCTTCTTTTCCTTTAGCACTTACGATATCCACAATATAATAAACTTATTAGAGTTTAATGGATTTACACGTCATCATTTTACTTACTATACAACTCTACGTTTATTTTTCTACAATGCATTGAACTCAATAGAGTTTAATGGAATATATATTTAATAGTTAAAAAAGTTTTCTTTTTTCCATTGAAGAGTTCAATGGTCATTGAACTCCATATCAATTGAATGCCAACTAAGCATGTCATCTCATTCAACTCTCATATTAAACTATGTATTGTGGATGCTCTTATAATTTTTGTAGAAAATGTGAAAAACATAATTCTATCATCCTATAGAGATAAACATGCAACCCAAAATCAAATAATTTACTTTCCCTCTTCTCCACGATTATAATGTCAAACTTAAAATCACCATGTTTTCAAAAAAAAAAATGTTCTCACATTTAAGAATCACCTACATTCCACACGCTTTTTTATTTTTTCCAAATCTTATACGGCAAATTTATCATTATGGTTAGCACGTACTTAAAAAAAATAAAAAATGTTTTGCATAATATTTTTATTAGAACCCTTTAAGATTATTAAACATTTCAAATCAAGTATTTTTGCCATAAACATCAATGCAACAGGTAAGAACACGTCCACGACATTTTTATCATGACATTTTATATTAGGTGGACTTTTTTGATGAAGTGTGACATTTGTGATATCTCGTAATCACCAATTGGAAATTGATAACTTATGTTGTTAGCCTATGTTGTATATATTGTTTATGTTCATCGGAAAATTATGACATCTACAATGGGAGTGCAATAAGGGTTGAATAGATTAAATTTGATTATGAGAGAGAGAGAGAGTGAGAGAGAGAGAGAGAGATCTTTCCTGAACGGTTTAATGAATTTCTAGTGTAATTTTATTCACTTTTTAAGAATCGATTTGAAAAATATATATTCCATTTAACTCTATGATTTGAATGGAGTGTGGATGCTCTTAGATCGATATATGATGATTATCTTTTAGGACTGAGTATACTAGCTACACTATGTTAGTATGTTGCATGTTTTGTACTTGTAAACATAACTTTTATTTTTATTTTTTTATTTTGATTTTTTTGTTAAAAGCTAAAATTTAAAAGCTCTCAAAAGCCGAACACACCCTTAATAATATACGATTTTATGTTAGAAAAAACGTTTTCTTAAAGCCTATCGTCATTCGGAAAAAACTCTGACGGATATGAGAGATTTTGTTTTTCTTTTAAAAACTTATAAATACCATAAATTACCTAATAAGCTAATAATATGAAAAGGTGAGTTTTTTTTTGAACCGGCAAACGAGAAATATATAAGAAAAAAGCGAAGCACACCTAGCAAGGAGCTAGGAGTAAAAGTACAAAACAAGAGCACAAAAACTAAATGAAAGTTACAATGATTTGAACGGGAGGATATTCCAATCCGTCCAGTTTAGGCCTCTTTTACCACCTCTATGTTTAACCCAAAGAAATGTCGTTGATTTGACAATGTCCGCTACTTTCGTAGCACATAACCGTTTATTAGCAAATATTCGTTCGTTTCTTGCTTTCCAGATACTCCATAAGGTCACGTAACAAATGCTCAGCAACCTTTTCTTCTTCTTGGGACAGGTTCCCCAATTGGAAGCATAATCGAGAACGTCGTGCACCGTTTGGAAGCTTATTAATGAAACATTACACCAATTGAAAATCCATTCTGTGACAGTTTTAGCAAAAACACATTGCACTAGGATGTGATCAGTTGTTTCTTCCATTGAGTTACATTGACAGCAGGTGGTGATTGGCAAGTTTATGCCCCTACTCGATAGTGTTGTCGCTGTGGATATACGACCCCGTTTCGCCCTCCAGATAAAACACGAGACCTTTAGAGGTATCTCTTTGATCCAAATGAAGCTGTCAATAACTACCTGTCCATTATCTTCCAGGATGTGGCGAAGAGCACTAACCTTGTATTTTCCATCCCCAGTAATTTCGCACCTCCATGAAACGTCGTTTCCTCCCTGATGCTTTTTGATAATATTGTCGTGTGGAATGCCCCTCTTTTCTAGTTCACGTTTGATTCCTGCTATATTGTTCCATACCCCGGTCATTGACTTCATAGAGTAATAATCATCCCCTTTATTATGCAGTTTGTGAACCCCTTTAATGACTTTTACCCATAATGTGGATGATTCCGACCTTAGGCGCCACAGCCATTTCACCAGGAGTGAGATGTTTATGGATTTTAAGGATCCAACTCCTAGTCTTCCCTTATCTTTGTCCGCAATAACCTTCTCCCATGATATCCAATGTATTGTCTTTTTGTCCTCTGACCCGCCCCAGAGAAATCTCTTTCTGATTTTTTCCAATTTATCCAAAACGCCATTGGGTGCAGCAAATAGAGACATATAGTAGTTCGGTAAGTTACCTAGTACTGATTTGACTAGTGTCAGTCATCCACCAAACGACAATGTCTTCGATTTCCAAGCTGATAATTTTTTCTTGAATCTTTCAATTATGGGAGTCCAATGTTTTGTGAGCTTCATGTTGGCTCCCACGGGGACACCAAGATATGTGAAAGGTAACAGGGCGGGTTCGCACCCAAGGAGGCGAGACCAACGGGTAACTTCTTGTATATCTGAACCAACTCCAAAGACTTTGGATTTGTTAAAATTGACTTTAAGTCCCGAAGTCGCTTGAAAGCAACGGAGGATTCGTGATAAGTTTTTGATGTTATTTTTTTACCATTCCCCCACAAACAAAGCGTCATCAGCATATAGAAGATGTGAAATTAAAGGTCCTCCATGTGGTAATTGCAGGCCTTGAAAGACCCCCGCTTCACATGCGGCCTCCATTGCCACACTAAGTCCTTCCATAGCAACGATAAAGAGGAAAGGGGAGAGGGGATCCCCCTGTCGGACGCCTTTCGAGGTCTTGAATTCATCAGTTGGATTCCCGTTGATTAGAATTGATGCATGAGTCGATTGTAGACAACCCATCATCCATAAACGCCATTTTTCACCAAAGCCCATTTGCGATAGATTGCTGTCCAAAAATTCTCAATTAATGGAATCAAATGCCTTGTCAAAGTCCACCTTGAAGAGTAGAATTTTCTTTTTTCTTTTTTTTTGCCCAAGAGCACAACTCATTAACAACTAATGGTCCATCCGGTACACTTCTGCCCTCCACATATGCTGATTGCACTTCACTGATACAATGCCCCATTACTTTCTTGATACGTAAAGAAAGAATTTTGGCTATAATTTTATAAATGGACCCGATGAGACTGATTGGGCGATAATCGTTTAGCTTGAGTGGATCTTTTATTTTGGGGATTAAGGAAATGAACGATGCAGTGAACGACTTATCAAGTCGTCCATGCCGTTCAAAGTGGGTTAAGTATGACGATTAAAAAAAGAGATTTAACCAGAAAGAAAATAAAATAATGCTAGATCTTTTATGTAATTAATTTGATAAAAAATGATAAATTGTCATTCATGATTCAACTTGTCTTTTAAGTTCTTCACTATCTAAAGTAGAGTAAACACGTTCAATCATTCGAATAAAAATCATGATGTTTGACTAATAAAAACCACTAAACACCTTTTACGAGAAATAGATAACAATACCTAAATTACTATAAATAATGTCCTCGTAAAATGAAAAATACTTTACTTTTAAGTTTTAAGAAGTATCCACAATCTCTCCATGTGTTTCCATATCTCATATCTCAACTGTTTTTTTCTTCCTTCAAATATAAGGTCGAATATTCCATTTTTTTCTTTTTGAAAAATATTAAAGTATGTAAATACACAATGGGTCAACAACAAAAACAATGGGATCTTGTATTTATCCTTGCAAACACCCAAAGGCCAAAGAACCAAAACCTCAGTAAATGTAGAGAAGATAAGTCAACACAAATCCACTCTTGCCTTCATGAAACATGACGAATCCCCTTACTTCATCATCGCAATATCAACGACCCAAACTGAAGCAACAAACAAATAAAACAATCTTGACTGCGTCAGCAGCAGAAAAACACACACACAAATACACAATGTCTCTTTTCCTCTTTTGTGTGTGTATTAATGGAGGATTATCACTTATCGGCAAAATTCCACCAACCATTACTACAATTGCCTTCTTTCTTTATCGAAGTGAATGTTGATTATTCTACTATCACTCTTTTAATGGCGATGCATACAGGTAAATTTCATGCATTTCATGTGTCAAATTAAAAAAAGATATAACTATGGCGTGTGAACACACTGACAATTTGATATCTGACTACTTGGACAATGGAGATTATTCAAAGATTGGTTATCATAAACAAATTATTGCCAACCCTTTTTTATTATTAGGTTCTGATTCTTTTTTCACAGAGTAGTAAAGCTTGAAGTCGTTGACATGTAAACATTACGAGTTGTTTTTATCTTTTCGATTTTATTCTCTGTATGAACTTGATGAACTCAACAAATCTGTGAATTAACCTCCAAGATTAAGTATTATATTACATCCATCTACAGATTCTTCCTTGGATTTCTTCGCAATTTGTCTGATGGATTGATTGATACCCTTTTGTGCTTCTGTTGCGATTCTCTCAAGCAAACTGGAAGTAATCGATTCGAGATAGAATTTCGAGATGCTGGGGTTCAAATTCAGATCATGTGGAAGATTGAAGTACGAAATCCAGCAACACAATTTTCTTTCTGGAGCTTTTTAGCATCGTATTGAAATCGTTTTCTGTTGCTTTATCCAATTTTGGCTGTCTTTGGATTTGGAAAATAATTTCAGGATGATGGGATTCAAGTTCAAATCATACGGTTGTGTTTTTGCTCTGATAATTCCATTCTTGATGGCGATTTCAGTTGCAAAAGTTACAGATCCCTCTGAAGGTCTGCTCAAATTGTTTATTGTCTCATATTCATGTCTTCTACCATCATTAATTGACTAAAAGGTTATCCATTTTTCTTGTTTCTAAACTGTTGATGTTTGTTTTTCTTTTTGATTTATTTTATATATAGTTTCTGCATTGCTTGCTGTGAGAGGTAGATTAGTTGATCCACTGAATCGTCTTAGAAACTGGAATAAAGGGGATCCATGCACATCAAATTGGACAGGAGTTATATGTGTTCATAAATCCAATGTTGATAGATACTTACATGTTCAAGAAATGTATGTATTCATGTCTTATTTTTCACATTTCTTTATCTAGTTGTTGTTGCAAATCGGCTTATATGATTCTATTTTCATTTTCTTTTGTTTACAGACAACTACTAAACATGAATCTTTCAGGAAGTTTAGCACCTGAACTTGGTCAATTTTCTCATCTGAGTATATTGTAAGTCGAAACATGAAAAATAATAAATTTATGTAGTTTTGTTTCTTAATGATGAGTTTGTTTTGTTAATTGAAGAGATTTCATGTGGAATGACTTGAGTGGAAGTATACCCAAGGAGATCGGAAATATTTCATCTTTGGTACTCTTGTAAGTAAAATTTAATCATGAGATTTTATTAATTTGTGTTTGTTGTTAATCTTATGACCTAATTTGTATCTATTACAATCTTCACAGGCTTCTGAATGGAAACAGATTAAGTGGCAATTTACCCAATGAGCTTGGATATCTTAGGAATTTAGATAGATTCCAAATAGATCAAAACCATATATCTGGACAAATTCCCAAATCGTTTTCAAACTTGAACAATATTAAACACATGTGAGTGAATTACAATTCACAAGATTATATTTTATTAGAGTATGTGTTTGTTTATGTGATTAAATAACATTTTTTGTTTATGTTTTCAGCCATTTCAACAACAACTCGTTAAGTGGTCAAATTCCTTTGGAACTTTCCAACTTATCTACTCTAATGCACTTGTGAGTAATATCATATGCATGTTTCTCTCTCTCTCTCTCTCTCTTCCTTTCATATGATAAGGGTATTCACGTCTTTTGCACTGATGAGAGATCAAGAGAAAATCTCAGTCCCACCTTTTTGGGTGGGACAAAAATTGCAGCTTTTATCTAATTGACATTTGTGTCGGTCCCGGTCAAAGTCAAACACAGTACAATCTGTTTCCTGTCTTGTCATTTCTCTCCATATTTTTATATCTAAACTTTTTATGCCATATTTATTCATAGGCTTCTGGACAACAACAATTTATCCGGTTATCTTCCATCAGAATTTGGAAATTTTCCAAATATGCGGATAGTGTAAGATAATATTTAGATCATAATGAATTATTTAAATCATAAATGCTCATCTATTTTTTGATCCTATCTTTCAGTCAACTTGATAACAATCACTTTGATGGAGCCGAAATTCCTGCTTCATTTGGAAATCTATCAAAAATAGTGAAATTGTAAGTTCTATTCAGAACATCCTCTGCTTTTTTTTCATATACAAGATAATGATAATGATTTTATAATAAACAAATAAATGAAAGTTTTGAACTTGTGTTGCAGAAGCCTTAGAAACTGTAGCTTGCAAGGAGTTGTGCCTGATCTTAGCAGAATACAGAATCTTAGCTATATGTAAGCACCCCCCCCCCCCCCCCCTCTTCTTATCTTACCTAATAAGTAGCTGATGTTTGGTCAATATAACAGAGATCTAAGCAAGAATAGACTCACTGGATCCATTCCATCAAATAAGCTTTCAAACAGAATCACAACTATGTAAGTTCAAATTCAAAGATGTTTCCATTTTGTTACATGATCCTATTTCTGGCTTCTTTTCTTGAATTACTATTTTGTGCAGTGATCTATCAGATAACCAGTTAAATGGATCTATTCCTGAAAGTTTATCAGATCTTCCTTCTCTTCAAAAACTGTGAGGATTTTGATTTTTTTTCTTTAATCTGTTTCCATTCTCATTAAAAAATTAACAATTCAGTTTGCATATTGTATGATTTCAGGTCCTTGGAGAACAACTTTCTTGATGGTTCCATCTCCCCTAAGCTATGGCAGAATAAATCATTTACTGCAACCTCAAAACTTTTACTGTAAGAAATACACCTTTTTTTTTTTTTTTTTTTTTTTTTTTTTTTTTTTTTTTTTATCTTTGTTACTCATTTCTTGATCATGTGTTCACAACATGCAGTGATTTCCGTAATAATTCGTTTTCAAGTGTTATTGGGGTTTTAAATCCACCTGTTAATGCTAGCCTAAGGTATGCCATCTTCATATACTTCTACAAACGATTGTATGAGTATATCTGTATACGCTAATCGAACGATTGAATTTGATTTATATATTCATCAGGCTAAATGGAAATCCAATTTGTCGAAATTCAAGCATACAAAACAAAGACGAATTCTGTGGGCCAAAAGATTATGGAGAATACATGCGTTCCTTTTCAAAAGACGCAACCGATTGTCCAATTCAATCATGTCCCACAGACAATTACTTTGAATATGTTCCAGAATCCCCAATTCCTTGTTTTTGTGCTTCACCTCTTAGAATCGGGTATCGCCTAAAAAGTCCAAGCTTTTCTTATTTTCCACCATATCGTGAGCAATTCGAAACATATGTCACTAGTGCTCTTGATTTGGAATTCTATCAACTATCTATCGACTCGATTATGTGGGAAAAAGGACCTCGTTTAAGGATGTATCTTAAACTTTTCCCTAAAGCTGGCATCGATCATTCAAGTACATTCAGTACAAGTGATGTTTTGCGTATCAAAGGCATTTTTACAACATGGGTATTTCCTGGAAGCCACTTATTTGGACCCTATGAGCTTCTCAATTTCACTCTTCTTGGACCTTATTCACACTGTAAGCTTTTCATATTCATGTCGGATGATTAACTACATATCTGCAACTAGTTTCTCGTGTTTTTGTAATCTCACATTGTGTTTTTATTGTTGTAGTGAATGTTGAAACACCGAGCAAAGGTATAAGCAAGGGCGTTTTGGTAACAACAGTAGTTATAGGAGTCGTTTGCGCTTTAGCAATTTCTTCAATACTTACTGTTGTGATCAAGAAACGACACGAGAGATACAAGCACACATCATCAAGAAAATCTTTACGTAAGTTATTCATATAAAAACTTGGAAATTATCATTAACCCGATTAATTTGATGTTAATCGTTTGTAGTCGCGAAACTTTCCATCAAAATCGATGGGGTTAAAAGCTTCACTTTTAGAGAAATGGCGATTGCAACTCAAAACTTTAGTGATTCGAGTCTTGTGGGGAGAGGAGGTTATGGGAAAGTTTATAAAGGAGTATTATGGGATAACACCATGGTTGCTATAAAGCGTGCAGAAGAAGGATCATTACAAGGTGAAAAGGAATTTTTAACAGAAATAGAGATTTTGTCAAGATTACATCACCGAAATCTAGTTTCACTTCTTGGATATTGTGATGAGGAAAAGGAACAGGTATTCTTTTGGTTTATCATTATCGAAAAAGACTTTTTTTTTTTTTTTTTACTGAATGAGTGTTGTGGGCCCCACTTAAGCAGATGCTGGTTTATGAGTACATGCCTAAGGGAACATTGCGTGATTGGCTTAATGGTATGAAACTTTTTTAGATCCAATCTTTTAACATATAAAAAAAAAAGATGAAATTGATAACAATTTACAAAATTCACAGCAAAATCTGGAGAAGCTTTGAGCTTCCGTATGAGGTTACACGTGGCATTGAACTCAGCTAAAGGGATTCTTTATCTTCACACAGAAGCCAATCCACCAATATTCCATCGTGATATCAAATCAAGCAATATTCTTCTCGACTCCAAAATGACTGCAAAAGTTGCTGATTTTGGGCTTTCAAGACTCGCACCAATCTTGGATGACAATGGAGTTGGGCCTAATTATGTATCCACACTTGTTAGAGGAACACCCGTAAGTCTGATTCTTTAATAGCATTTGTTATTCTAAATTCTCTTTGTTAGATTTGATGATATGATATCTAACTTCCACCATTTTTATAACAGGGTTACCTTGATCCTGAATACTTATTAACCCATAAGTTGACAGACAAAAGTGATGTTTATAGCCTTGGAGTTGTGCTTTTAGAGATCTTGACTAGCATGAAGCCAATATCACATGGCAAAAACATTGTTCGTGAGGTATGATTAACTTCTTTTTTAAACTCATATCAAGATTTTCAAATGGATATAAGAAAAAGAAAATGTTGGTTTCTTTTTTTCAGGTGAAAATAGCTCATGAAACAGGAACGATGTTCTCAATTGTAGACAGCAGAATGGGTTCATACCCTTCTGAATGTATTGAGAAGTTTGTACTTTTGGCTCTTTGGTGTTGCAAGGATAAGCCTGAGAAAAGGCCAAGTATGGTGGATGTGGTGAGGGAATTGGAGCAAATACTTGAAAAGATGCCAAAAGATGAGTTGTTGGATCCGGATTCAAACTACTTTGTGGAATCATCATCAATGTCTTCTTTGTATAGCTCATCAAATGTTCATGGAAGTAGTGATCTTACTAGTGGTGGTAGCCCCTTAGTGTATCCTCGTTGATGTACAAACAAATTCAAATTTTGCACAAAGAAAGGTGAAAAATAGGAATTGTATATCTATGTGTATAGAAAAAGTATGATTATGATGTGAGAGTTGAGAGCAATGTAGTTTGTTGTACATTACAACATGGTAGAGAAGATTTTTATACTCTCGTTGTGATTTTGTATTTTCCCTTTTTCAAAATGAATGCAAAGTTTTTGATTTGTTGTCATTTGAATCAAATAGCATATAGTATAACATATATGAAACAACAATCTAGTATTCATATGTTTGTGCTAACACATGAATAAATCCAAAGAATCAAATCACCCGATAAACAAGAAAAAAAATCATCCCTTACTCTACTACGCTTTACACTCCATTCTATATCTATCGTTCTATTTTTCTTTTTTTTCAAAAAATGAATATAAAATCGAATAACAAACTCAAAACTCACATGTCAGCCTATACATTTCAAATTTTTTTTTTCAAAAAATCATGCAATATATGAAGGTGTGTATGTAAATTGTAATAGAAAGGTGGGGCCCAATTAACGTCCGGTTTTTGCACGTTTCATGCCACTTGTATTGAATGGTGACATGCTTCCACTTGGCCCAGGACTCTCTTCTCTCAAACTCGAATTTAGCATCGCTAGCTCTCTTAATTGTTGTCTTTTGATGTAATCTTCTGATTCATCCTGCAATCAGAAAAAAAAAATGTTTGACTTGTTAGGTCAAATCAACTCAATACTTAAAAGTTAAAAGTCAAAGTAGAAGAAAAGAAAGATACCACTGGTTTTAGCAACTCCTGGATTATTTCCTGAGCTTGCCTTAGCCTTAAATCAACAACACTCGGTGGCAAATCAGCCTCAATCAAGATGTGAAGTGGCTCATTTAAATGCTCATACCCAGGTCTTCCCCTCAGTTTCTCTTCCTTTAAATCGTGAACAAATATTAGATTCAAGGAATCTTGAATTTTAAAAAAGTATATAAGAAGCATATGAAAGAAAAGAACCTTATCAGGATCTTTGATTGACCCTTTTCCTCTTATATACACACGACACCCTGTTGTAGCCTCTATACGTTTTAGTGAATTGCCTCGAGGTCCCAAAAGTCTGCCAACAAAGTTAAACTAAAATCCAAAGAACAAAAACATGTCATTCACTTTCCCCATTTATATCTTTTGATCTAAATATTCAAGATCTTTTTTTGAATCATGAAATTAAGCTTACATTTGGGAAGGTATCAACCGGAATATCCAACCTCAAGATTCGCTTCACTGTGTATGAACTAGGGCTTGCTGGAGTTCCTTGCCAATCCATTGTCATTCCACTTAACCTCTGACATAACAAAACACATGATATATAATATGATTTGAAATTTTTATTTAAGAAATGAGAAGTTTTAGAGTTGAAAAAGTAAAATTATTAATTAATTAATTAATTACCTCCTGTGGAAAACCATTCCAACCACCTGGAATTTGTGACATGAGATCTGAAGAAGCCATGGGGCTTGGGCTTCTATGTCGCATTCTTTCAAGCTCATTATACCCTTGGTTTTGTAACATACTAGAAACCCTCATTAATTCTGAAATAAATGATGTTCAAGTCAATGGTTAAAGACGTAATTATAGGAAAATTTGAGACTTGAATACTGTTGTGATCCTATTTCAAAGACTCAAATTAAATAAAGAGCACATTTCTTCATGTATCTTGGAAATTGTCTAAGAAGAATCGTGCTTACAAAGTCCACAATGGAACGATAGAATGGGAATTGATTGCATTAGAAAAGGCGTATAGAGGGGCAAAATGGTCAACAAGTTAAGTTTTTAGGTGGGCATACAATTCGAGAAAAATGGTCAATCCTCTTTCTGTTAGTGTTCTTTACCTGATACAGGGTTGTTTCATGTTTGATGTTTCAAACAGATAGTCAATTTCAACTCATGTTTAAAGCAAATACAAGTGGATCTTCCTAAAAAGATAAAAAACCTCAAAGATCATAAACCCTAGAAATTAAAATCTAAAAGAATCAAACCTTGATTCAGGAGTCTGGTGCATACGGGAAGAACTTGCGTAAACGGCTGAAGCTTCTGATGTTCCGCCAATAATTCAGACAAGTACTGACTGCGTAAATCGTAATACCAAAACAACATCAAAATAAAGAAACCTAATTACAGATTAAACAGCACACAAAGTTTTCTTTTGAAAAAAAAATGAAACTCAAAAACCCATGAAACATGGCGAAGGATTTAGCATATGAATTCACGAACCTATCAGCATCTCCGTTAGTTCTAATCTGAGGAGAAACAGCTCTTGCTGGAGAATAGTTGTGATTATACAAACCTGAAGACATGATTTTTTTTTAATTTTTTTTTGGTTGTGTGAAGAAAAAAACTGATGGAAAATAAGCAGAAAAACAAGAGATGGGAAAAGGGTGTGCAAGTTTAGCAGAAAACTTGAGGCAATTATTTCCTTTACTTATTTCGTTTTCAAAGTTATTTTTAAAAAACATTTTTGGAAGAAAAAGTTGTCAGCATAAACTTTTTATGGATACTGTTTAAGGTAAAAAGATAATTCAAAGGGAACAATTCAACAAATATTCATCTACTACACCTAGCTAGCTCCCATTATTGAGGATAATTTTTATATTAAATGTAAAGGTGCGTATTTGTTTATTGGTGCTGATCTTATAAATGTGTTAGTTGTTTGATGTGTATTATAATTATTTTTCATTTATTTTGATATTATTAATTGTACTTTAGATACCTAACACATCCATGAAAAAAGAAACAATATTTACCTGAAGCTAATATCAAAATTTTTAATATACTCTTAATCAACAGCATAAAATAGCATATTTAATTTGAATTATTACTATATTGGAACTGTACAAATTGAAAGTAAAAATTGTTAGGAAGAATAAAAACAAATTGGTAAGAAAGTACATCGAGCATTTTAATTGTTATTAGTGATTTTTGTATTTTTTGTTTATATATATAAACTTATTATCTGTAAATATCCTCTCTTGTTGGTAGGAATATTCTTGGTTGGAATAAAATCAAGGATATAACTGTAAATTTGACGCAGGTGAGTAAATAAATAAGAAAAAGACCGAAGGTAGAGAAGAAATAACGGCGGTCTAAGAGACACGTGTCAACCATGCAGGCAATAAGCGGTAGCCACTAGGAGCGGAAGTGGGTCCCACGTGGCCAATTAGCCAACGGAGTCTTAGCTGGAGTTACAGGGTGGGCCGACACCTACCACCAACCGGCGCCGTTTTGTCCCCCTCAAACTGCTGCTCTGCCTCTGCTGATTGGTTTTGGCATTTTGTAATTTTCCCAGCTGCTATTTTATGTTTTTATTTTTATATTTATATATATTATTTTAATAACTTTTGAATGAAAGTTTATCTACCTAGATATGGATGTATGTAAAGGTTAATCGCTTAATTGTGAAAGTATAAGATATTTTTATTGTTTTATTGATTTACAGAGTTTTTATTTTTCCAACTTCACATATATTAGATTATAACCCGCATTAAACGCGGGGAACGCATAAAAACATACAAATGTCTATAGATATTGCAGAGTATTTATAAAAAAAATAATATGGTTATTGGTATTATTGAAATGTATAGAAGATACATTGAAATCGATAAATATATATAATCATTGAAGGAGCTCGTTGTATACTTTTGTTTTATTAGTTGAATGACCTTCCTCTGTCACATATGGTTATGATATTGTTATATAAGCATAAATATTCTAATTAGACGTTCATTCCATAAGAAGGTTACTTAATTTAAGCTTATATTGACAACCAATATACCATTTTTTTCACTGTATTAAATATTGACAACTATTTCAATTATTCAAATAAAGTCATAGAGTATAATTTATGGAATATCAAATGTTATATGAATTTAATTTTAGTATATCATCAATGAATTTTTTTTCTAAATCATGATTCGTTTATTTTAAATTGATTATGAATATAAGTGCTAACTTTTATGTTTGTTCTTATTTATTTGGTGTTTCACAAGAACTTTGCATTAGTCTTGACGCAACTTTGAATAATTTTATATCATCAATGTAATTTGATATATCTTTCAATTATATGAAATATCAAATAATGACATTTCATTACTGTTGTGATAATTTAGTTAATATATTGTATTTTTTACTAATCTTAACAATCTTATTTTTTTTAATAACCATAACGTTTTTACTAACTGTACAAATTACAAATCTTCCTAATATCGTTTGTAGGTATTCTGAAATTTCATTTTAAAAATGCTTAATGTTTACATTTTGATATTTTTTTAATAAACTCGTGTAAGAATTATGGAATATATATCTTGTTTGAATTAACATTTACTTCTTTCACTAAATTAAATTCCTCATGAAACGGATATATTTTGGTAAGTAATAATTATAATGGGACAACATTATCTAAGACATAAATGTTTGATATACTTTGGAGGGAAAAAATCGGATCATTTAAAAATTTTATATAAAGAAAATACAAATTTAAATTGGGTGAAA